GCGTGGGCTGGGAAAAGAGCAACCCCTCACCCCTCTCCCTACAAAGGTCCTACAGCCTGGGCATCCATTTGGAGGGTAATAACATGCCTTGCAGCAACTGTGGGGGATCTCCTTCTGTTTTGTTTCTGAAATCCCATGTTTTGTTCCATTTTACTGTTTTGTTTTACTCCTGTATCTGATAACCTGAGCAATTTTGAAGATAACAATATGCAGTGTAACAACCATTGTTAAATTCCTATCATCTTGTTCTGAAAACCTATATAGCTATTGTTTTATTTTGTTGTTGTATTTTTGATTTGTTTGTTGCTTGACATTTCTTTATTTCTTTTTTCTCTTTAAAATAAAAAAAGGAGAAAGAAATTGGCTCAACAAAAATTTATCTGTGGGAGAAAAGAAAAGAACAGAACACTGGAATGCATGCTAGTCCCCACAGACACCATCATTGTACTAGGTCATGTTAAATGAAGAACTATAATAACTGAGAAAAAAATATTTAAATCACACAATAAGGGAAACATCAGTTGGTCAGTTTGTAGAATTAATAGGACTTAAGGTAATCATCTCTTTGGGCATAATTCACCATCAACAAAATGAACCTTTACCAAAAAGCCCTAGTCTTTTGCTTTTATAAGTTGAGAAAATTATATATTTCCTTCAAATTTACAAGAATTGTTACTATGCCTCAGAAAATAATACCTTACTGATTTAAAGACTTTTGATCTACCCTTGGAATTATTGCCATATAGGCAAGCATCAAGATATAAACTTAAAGACACCATCATCACATGTAGGAAGGAACAGGAGATACAGATAGAGAAATGAATGCAATACTAAAAAGAAACAAGTAACTGGGCAGGGTGGCACATACCTGTAATATCAGCACTTGGGAGGCTGAGGCATGAGGGATTGATTAACTGTGAGTTTGAGGCCAACCTGCGCTACACTGCAAATTTGAGGCCAGCCTGCACTACTATAAAATCCTGTCTCAGAAAAAAAGAAAGAAAGAAAAGAAGAACCAAATCATAGTTTGTTGCTATTCTGTGATTTTCAACCATTTCTTAACGACTTACATAATCTACTACTGGTAACTAAATTGTTTGATCATCAGTGGAGCATAGTTAAAAACTCTGCTAAAAAAATAAGAAAAATCTTCAAATAATACAGTTGAAACATGTAGATTTGATTCTGCCAATTTCTAAAAAGAGATAAATAATTTGGATGTTACTAAAATCTTCACAGCATTCCTTATAGTGGCTGAGAATGGGGGTCAACTTTCTACCACATCAAAGCAGACACAAAGCAGCAAGATTTATGCACAGTCTCACTACCCTTCGTTCAGAGCTTTTCAACTCAAACCTTAACCTCACCCCACAGTGAAACAGAATTATAGAGATTTTCACACACCAGTGATATTCTTTAGAAATATCTTTAAAAGGAATCCAGCAGTTATTGCTTTAAACTCCACCTTTTCATGAAAAGGTAGCCTAATAGTACTCTTTCAACCTACTTACTTAAAAACTAACATCAGGACCTGGCTACTGTGGCTTTCCCGGGGAAAGCCCACCTTGCTTTTTCCAGGGTATTCTTTTCCCTTTTTAACTCAGCCAAAGTGTTCTGTCTCTGTGTCTTCAATTTTACCTTTTCAAATAAGTTTTGCTACTGCTTAAAATAAATAAAAATAAAGTCAGTACTAAGTTCTTAATGTACCCTTCATTTCTTTCACAATTAAGATTTTGAAAGTGTTTCAAAGTGACAACTAAAGTCTCAAAAACTATGGACAAGGGATTCCATCCAGTTCATGTGGCATAAGCCAATTTTAAAAATAATTAGCTTGCATATGTTGCTTAGTTTTATTTTCTCAAGACCAAGAGATAAAGGGAAAGAAGGGGACATAAAATGAATTAAGATATGTTATGTACAGGTATAACTCCCCATGGTGAATGCATACAAATACGTACTAATAAAAATAAAAATAAAGATAGAAAAAAATGCTTCTTTTTCACAGAATTATATGTTTGATACTTTACCTTCTGAACCATTATCTTTCAAATTTTAATGTTGTCAAACAGCTTTCAATTTTTCTTGAAATAATTATGTTTGTTTTGTGAGACAAGAGTCTCCCTAGGTAATCCAGGCTGCACAGGATGCAGCCCAGGCTATATTTGAACTCAAAGTGATCCTCCTGTCTCAGCCTGTACTGGGATTACGTGTGTGTGCCACCATGCCCAGTTTGAAATAACTATGAACCTTTGAATCTGCCCATAATTTAGGAAGAAATAAATTTAAACTAAGTATGGATTACATCAGCACTACTTCCACATTAAAATACCCTTATGGAATACCAAAGTTACTAAAGATTAACCTGAAATGATGTATTATAAAAATATCTAGAAAACTTTCCTTTGATTTAAAAAGTGTAATGCAATATATATATATATATATATATGAATGACAGAAAGTGCACCGTAGCCAGTGGTGGCACATGCCTATAGTGGAGGCTGAGACAGGAGAATCGCTGCCAGCCTGGCTACATAGTGAGCTCAAGGCCAGTCTAAGCTATACAACGATAGCTTGTCTCAAAAAACCAAATGAAAAAAAAAGTGAACTGTAGTTGTCTTAGTAAAGCTGTTATCTTTCCCATCATTTAGGAAATAAAAGTCAAAGATGCAGTTCGGGTCATGATGTAGCAGAGAACATTAATAATTACAGAATGCATTAATATGCCCTAAATATTTACCACAATCCGAAGAGCATAATAAATACATGAACCATTTCATGTAAAGACACTAAAATCAGAAAAGCATCTTTCACCCTTGATTTAGAGATAAGGAAATTTAGTGAGGTGGCTCAGTAAAGAAAAGATGTTAAGTGGAGCTGGGGTGTCCTGTCACACAGCACTGTTAATCCCAGCACTCTGAGAGACTGAAGCAGGAGTATCATGAATTTCAGTCCAGCCTGGGCAAATTAGCGATTGAGACTCTGATTTGAAAAATAAAAAACAGAGTGGGGAGTACCTCTGTGTGAAAACCTGGGTTTAAGTAGCATCACTAGAGTGGGGGTGGGGAGGGGGAGACAAAGATCTACACAGGGTATGTCCAGATACAAAGCTAGGATCTTAACCTACTTATGTTGAAGTTTACTGCAAATCAGTATTTTTACTGCTTTAAATTCTCTAAGTATTCCTTAACTCAAAGACAAAAGGCTCCTTCAGATCATATATATGATAAAGTGTTCGTAAGTGTTTTGCTGAATTTCTGTACCTGTTCAGAATAACCACAACACACGGTTTTGATTCATTACAATTGTTTTAAGAGTATCTCCAGCCACAAATACCTGTAAGGGCTACAGAACAAAGATCTTTCGGGTACAGCAGTTATTTCATTCTCTGTCCTAAACTAGACATAAAATGCTGACCCTGGATTCAAAAAGTCCTACCAGTCCCGCTCCTACCAGCCTGTGGCTGCTTTCCAAAGAAGCGCTCTTTCCCAGGACTCTAACCTCAGGACCGCCCGGGTTTTTTCCTATCTATCAGACCATTCTTAACTCATGCTTTGCTCTAAAAGACTGAGAAGCACACTAAGTGAGGTGACCTGGTTAACATTGGTTACTAATACCACAGTCATTTTCTTTGCCCGCAGTGGCTTATTCGAGTCACCAAACCCTGGGTCCACCCTTCACCGAAATACACGAGGGGCGCAGCCGCCCCGCATGGTCGCGGGCTCGCAGAGGAACCGGGTTCCCAGCTCAGCCAGCGGCAGACAGCTGACGGAATCAAAGGGAACAGGGAACGTGTAAAGAAGGACACGAGGGCGCTCAGTGCAGGGTGCCGGGGAGAGAGGGGGACCCAGACAAGCAAGGGCCGGGTAGAGAAGGGGGTCCGGTGAAGCAGGAGACCCGGAACAGGGAAAGGTAGGGGTCCGAGGAAGGGGGCCGGGAACGCGGAGAAGAGGTGGCCCGGGGACGCAGGAGGCTGGGAACGGGGAAGGGAGGGGTCCCTAGGGAAGCAAAAGACCGGGAACGGGGAGAAGGAGACCGGGAACGAGGAAAGGTGGTCCGGGAAGCAAGACATCAGAAACGGGGACAGGAGGTGGCCTGGGGAAGCAGGAGACTAGGAACGGGTAGAGGAGGCCCGGGGAAGCAAGAGACCAGGAACAGGGAGTGGAAGGGGACCCGGGACCAGGCTCCTTCACCGGCAGCCGCGAGCGGTCCAGGGAAGTGTGGGAAAGGCGCGCCATCTCCACTGGCCCGCCACCGCCCGCACGCGAAACTCCCTCCCTACCAGCTCCGGGTAGCAACGATGCTCTGGACCCGCGCAAGCTCACCTGACGCGGTCTCCACAGCTGGGCGCCGCACATTCGGCGCCCGCGGGTCCGCAAGACCAGCTGATTCACGGGGGCCGGACCTCGGGGGGCGGGGCTAGAAGGCAGCAAGCAGAGCTGAGATTAGACTGTGCTCACGGCGCCTGAAAGGGATCAAAATTCCTGAAGACTCGTTAGACAGTGCCCAGGCGGTTCCCAAGTACACTGTCCCTCCCACGGAATGCACCCAAGCAATGACGTCACACCGAGTCGCCGGGCCTGGTTGTCCGAGGGTTGCCACGGTAATGGAGCAGTGAAAGCGGAAAGGCCCGCGACAGTTTGATACCCCTCAAACTGTAGGAGATGGGATGTAAAATTGAGACTCCCAAATGTCTTGAGATCGCTTTATGAACTGCATCGTGTCGGCGACCGCGTCCCGTTGTGATGACGTCATCGCGCGGCGCCGGTTTCCCCGCGTCCACACTGCTTTACCGCTTAGTCACAACCTTCAGGGCGTAGGTCGGTTCGCTGTGTAGTCTTAGTAAGAAGTCTGTGCTGCTCAGCGTCACAACAATTTAGTTGTCGTGTATCATCCCGGTTAGGTTTTTTCAATGATGATAGATAAAGAGAGATAAAGAGACGCGGTACGGCTGCGGAAGAGAGCTAGATCCCTCAAAGAGGAGGAGCTGGGAACGGCCTTTATAGCGTTGGGCTGAGGGTGGAGCTGTTGGGTGACTGGAGTCTCAGGATTGGAGCGGGTTTGGTGCATGCTCAAAAAGGGAGCTGGAGGTTTATTTCTGCAATTCGAGGAAGAACACACAAGTTACTTTTGGAGAGATGAGTTAGGCGGACGTCATGTTAGTGATTGCTCAGACTCAGGCTGACAGAATCTGCCAATCCCCACCTAGCTTCCCGAATCCCAGGAAGTTGCCCACTCTTGGGCCTGCGAGCTGCCCCAGCCAGTGTGGAAAACTTCCATGTTCACCCCCAAAACCTTCGCGACGTTCCACCCACCTCCAAAATTGATCCACTTCTGGCCAGGACTGAACGGACCTCTGGGACCAGCGCTGCCTCAGGGCCTCTGGTACACCGAGCCGAGCCCACACTGTGTCCTCGCCTTTCCTTAATTTTATTTTGAGACAGGATCTAGGTAAATTCTCCAGGCTACCCTGGAATTTGTAATCTTCCTGCTTCAGCCTTCTCAGTAACTGGAATTAACAGGAATGGTGCTTCATGTCTTCTGTTTTTCAGGAAACAATTCCTTGACTCCTACTGATATAAGAGGTAAGATGTGGCAGAGTTGGCTGGGGAAATAGTCAGGACCCATCAATTATAGGACCCCCGGACAGCTTAACTCTCAGGACCCCCTTATGTAGAACTTTTTGGGTGCTGCCACAAGATGTGCGCTGCATATAAGAATACAGATTCTGGCGATAGCCCATCTTGGGTCTCCCAGATCCAGGATATACTTTTGCTTTTTGTCTTTTCTCTCTTTGTTTGATACATATTTGCTCTGCGGAGCTAGTTCTTTTCTTACTCCTTCATTCTTCATTTTCAAATAAATTTTTGGGACCATTTTTGACTTGTGTCAGCCAATTCTTTGTTCGAGGAAAGACCTGAAATACTTTTGTTTGGTGACCGTTAAATGACTGTTAAAAATGTACCTGGACCTCTAGTTCCCCTTCCTAGCTTGTTTCTTGTTTAGAAGAGATATACTTCCTCTGAAGGTAATTCCTCTGCCTAGAATCAAAAACCCTTCCAATCTTTCTTCTTAGAGACTTTGCTTCATTATTTAACCCTTCTCTTTCATTTATTTTCAACTTCCACTTCTTGTTTTCTCAGATAAGCCCACTCCTATTGATTTTAATTTTTTTCTCCTGCCTTATTTCCTTTGCAACCTACTATTCTACCACTACTTGATGACCTCCTATTCTTCCTCACTCCAGCCTGTAATCTGTATGTACTATTTCAGGAGTACTCCTAATTTGGAATCTAATAAAACAATCAAAAAGTGGAAGCATTGTATGCAATCACTGAAGAGAATAAGGATGTTCCTTGTGTGCTCATCTTGAAATTAGATTTGTTTTTTTGGTTGGTTGGTTTGAATCAGAGTCTTGCTGGGTAGTCCAGGCTGGCCTTCAGGTCTCTAGCCCAATTGGCCTCAAACTCAAGATCCTCCTTGTCTTAGCCTCAGCTCTGGGATTACAGGCTTGTGCCACTATACCTGGCTGGAAATGAGGTTGTTAAAAGAAAGAAAAAAAGCGCGATAATATAGAAACCATAGTTTGTTTTCTGTTAGCTGCTTCTAAATACCCTGTAATACTTTCATCCTCTTAAATGGTTTCACACTGTCTTGATATGTTTGATGCTATAGTATACGAAGTTATACTGAAATATTTCAAGGAATGAGACACTATTGTAACTACTATTAAGTCGGGTTGTGTTGTGGTGAATCACTATGTTGCTTAAATTGTTCTGTTCTGACCTGTATTTTTATGCTGTTATGTCTTCTTTTATCTCAATATCTCCCACTTTTTTTGTTTTTTCAAAATTTTATTTAAAGGAGAAAAAAACCCAAAACAGTATAAGGGTACAAGTAACACAAAATTTTTAAAAAAGTAAGAAACCACTAGCTAGTAGATTACATATTTTCATCTTAGAAATAGTTGTTCAGGTTACAGGATTAAAGGATACAAAGTGGACATTCAAACAGTGAGACTGCAAAACTTGTGTTCAATGATCCAACAAAAACTTAGTAATATGGTCATGTATCTTAACATACCTAAACACACCGGCAGTTGTATCCTTTAGAGCACTTTTTTTCCCCTCTATTTTTTACAACAACATTTACACATTTTGGGTTTTATTACTCCCATAGTTCTTATTACTTTTTTTGGAAGAGAATAAAACCAAATATGACAAAACAAAGCAGTCAGTCAAAACAAAGGATAGACATAGCACATGATGTAAAAACAGAATACAAGGTAATCAACAATGGTTACCATAATGCCTCTTGCTACCTTAAAAATAATTGTCTATATCATTAGGTATAATAAAATTGAACAAAACAGTACAGAACAAGACCAATAAAACCTAAACATTGGAGACATTACAGGACTTCAAAAGAAGATAATACTCAAACCAGAATGGGCGTCATAGTGAATCTTATTGCCTTCAAAATAGTTGCCTATACCCTCAAACTTGATACTATCAAACAACAGATCAGAGTAAAATGAGTTAAAATAAGATGGTGGGAGCAATACAGGGCTTCAAATCAAGTTAATAGGAAATTTTAAAAGTTATGTCTTGCTAATTTTTTTGATTTTTTGCCTTAATTAAAAAAATAATAAAAAAAATTTAAAAAGGGGGAGATTGAGATAAAACAGGACATAACAAAATAACAATACAGGTCAAAGCATAAAAATTTCAGCAACCTAGTGCTTCACCACAAGATAACTGACTTAATAGTAGTTATCATAGTGTCTCTTGCCTTAAAATATTTTCGTATAACTTCGTATATTATGGCTTCAAACATATCAAGGCAGTGTAAAACCATTCAAGAGGATGAAAGTATTACAGGGTATTTAGAAGCAGCTAAGGGAAAAGGAACTATAGTTTTTATATTATCTCCTTGCCTATAAAAATTTTTGTTTATACAAAATTTTTGTTTATACAAAAAATTTTTATACAAATTTTTGTTATAATAAAATCCAGTAAGATATAACATGATAAAACCAATGGAGACAGAAGAACAACAGTTTGGTGGGACTTCAAAACAAGATGATGTTAAATCAGCACTAGCTATTATGATGTCTTGTTTTCTTCAAAATAGCTGTTCATATCATCACAGACAATAATGTCAAACAGCCCAGAATAAATCCATTCCAACTAGTGAGTGAGAACTTACAGGCTTCAAAGCCACATAATGAGGAACCATGATTACCACATAATTTTATGTATTTGTATGATTTCTTACACTAGGGAAAGTATTTGGTATTCATACATGCGAGTTTGATTTATTTCACTTATGAGTATGGTCTCAAGCTGCGTCCATTCATCTATAAATATCTCTATGTGATCATTCTTTATAGTTGAGTAGTACTCCATTGTGTAAAAATACCACAACTTTTTTTATCTATTCCTCAGTTGATGGACACTTAGGTTGTTTCCAAGTTCTGGCAATACAAATTGTGCTGCTATAAACATGAGTGCACATATATCACTGTGGTGTGATTTCAGTTCTTCGGGGAATATGCCTAGAAGTGGGATAGCTGGAAAAAATGGGACTTCCAATCACAGCTTTTTGAGAAATCTCCAGACTGATCTCCACAATGGTTGCACCAGTCTACACTCCCACCAACAGTGCAGGAGACTTCCTTTTTCCCACAGCCTCTCCAGCATTTGTTGTTGGTGGTTTTCTTGATGCTGGCCATTCTTTCAGGTAAGATGAAATCTCAGTGTAGTTTTTGATTTGCATTTCTCTAATGACTAATGATGATGAACATTTTTTCATGTATTTATTTGCCATTTGTATTTCTTCATCAGAGAAGTGTGTATTCATCTCAGATGCCCATTTTTGGATTGGGTCTTTGAATTTTGGGGGTCTGATTTTTTTCAATTCTTTATATGTTTTAGACAAGAGTCCCTTGTCTGAGGGATGGTTCAATAAGCTTTTTCCCCAGTTTGTGGGTTTTCTTTTCACTGTGCTGGAGATTTCTTTTGACATGCAGAAACTTTTTAATAAGAGGTTGTCCCAGTTATTGATTCTGGGAAGTATTTCCCGTGCGGGTTGAGTCCTGTTCATGAATTCTCTACCTACCCTTATATCTTCAAGGTTTCTACCCAATTTGTATTCCAATAGATTTAGTGTTTCTGTTTTAGTATTCAGATCTTTGATCCATTTAGATTTTAATTTAGTACATGGTGCTAGGCATGGGTATAGTTTTAGTTTTTGGCATATGGAGAGCCAGCTTTTCCAACACCATTTATTAAAGAGACTGTCGTTCTTCCAGTGAACCTGTTTGGCTCCTTTATCAAAGATAAGGTGGTTGAGTGTGCTTGTAGTTGTGGTTGTACCTTCTAATCTATTCCATTGATCTTCAGCTCTGTTTTTATTCCAGTACCATGTTGATTTTACTACTGTTGCTTTGTAGTATAACTTCAAGTCAGGGATTGTGATGCCTCCTGCCTTGCCTTTGCTGCTTAGAACTGTCTTTGCTACTCTGGGTCTCTTCTCACTCCAGATGAATTTTAGGAGTGATTTCTCTACATCTATGAGGTATGTTGATGGTATTTTTATTGAGACTGCATTGAATCTGTATAACAGTTTTGGGAGAATGGCCATTTTCACAATATTTATTCTTCCTATTCATGAGCAAGTGATGTCTTAACATTTTCTGAGATTGTTTTCAATTTTTTTTTCAGTGTATAATTTTCCCTGTATAGGTCTTTCACTTCTTTCTTTAGAGTAATTCCTAAATATTTCATCTTTTTGGTTGCTAGTGTGAAGGGTGTGGCTTCTCTTATTTCTCTGTCAGGGATTTTGTTGTTAGTGTATAGGAATACTATTGATTTTTGAGTATTGATTTTGTATCCAGCTACATTACTGAATTTATTTATTATATCTACGAGTCTTTCAATGGAGTTTAGGGGGTCTTCTATGTAGAGTATCATGTCATCTGCAAATAATGATAATTTAACTTCTTCTTTTCCTATCTTTACCCCTTTCATTTCTCTCTCCTGTCTAATTGCTCTGGGTGGTATTTCCAGGAATATATTAAATAGGAGTGGTGATAAAGGACATCCTTGTTGTGAGCCTGATTTTAACATAAGGTCTTCAATTTTTGGCCATTAATATGATACTGGCTGTTGGTTTGTCATAGATGGCCTTTATTATATTGAGGTAAAGACCATCTATTCCAATTTTTTGTAAACTTCTTATCATGAATGAGTGTTGGACCTTATCAAAAGCTATTTCTGCAGCTATAGAAATGATCATGTGATTCTTACTTTTGGCTTTATTGATATGGTAGATTATATTTATTGATTTACGTGTATTGAACCATCCCTGCACGCCTGGGATGAATCCCACTTGGTCATGCTGTGTAATCTTCTTGATGATTTGCTGCATCCTATTTGCCAATATTTTATTGAGGATTTTTGCATTTGTGTTCATTAGGGAGATTGGTCTGTAGTTCTCTTTTTTAGTTGGGTCTTTCTCAGGTTTTGGTATTAGAGTAATATTTGCTTCCAGGAATGACTTAGGAAGGATTGCTTCTATTTCAATTTCATTGAAGAATTTGAGGAGTATTAGCATTAGGTCTTCTTTGTATTTCTTGTAGAATTCTGCAGTGAATCCCGTCTGGGCCTGGGCTCTTCTTTGTAGGTAAGGACTAAATTACATTTTCAATTTCATTAATAGAAACTGGGTTATTCAGCAGTTTTACATCCTCCTGACCTAGCTTTCCTACTTCATATGTTTCTAGGAATCTATTTCTTCTGTTTTATCAAACCTTTGAGAGTAGAGGTTTTCGAAATAGGTGTTGATGATCTTCGGTATTTCTATAGAGTCTGTAGTGATTTCACCTTTTTCATTTCTTATTGCATTAATTTGAGCTTTTTCTTCCCTTTTTTAAAAAATAAGGTTGGCTAGGGGCTTATCAATTTTGCATCCCTTTGGATTTCATGCAGTTTGGAAAAAAATTTTTTTGCATCCCACAGATTCCTGTAAGTTGTATTTGTATTTTCATTGTCTTTAGGTATTTTTTAATTTATTCTTTAATTTCCCCTCTGACCCACTGATTACTCAAGAGTGTGTTATTCACTTTCCATGTTTTGTGGGGTTTTTGCAGTATCTTTTATTCTTAATTTCTAATTTCAAAGTACTATGATCCAATAACATGCAAGGGATAATTTCAACTCTTTTGCATTTATTTAAATATATTCTGTGAGCTAATATATGGTCTATTTTAGAGAATGACCCATGTACTGCCGAGAAAAATGTGTATTCTGATGTTGTTGGATGGAACACTTTGTATATGTCTTTCAAGTCCAGTTGTTCACATGTGTGATTCAGTTCTTTTCTTTGCTAATTTTCTGTTTGGTTGATCTGTCCCTTGGTGTCAATGGTATGTTAAGGTCTCCTGTTATAATTGTGTTACTGATAATTTGACTTTTCATTTCTGTTAATACTTGTCTTATATAACTGGGTGCTTTAGAATTTTGTGCATATATATTTATGATATTTATCTCTTCCTTTTGACGTTTTCCCCTAACAAGTATGTAGTGACCATCTTTATCTCTTCTGATCATTATTGGTTAAAAGTTCACATTGACTGCAACCAGAATGGCTATTCCTGCTTTTTTGGGGTTCCTGTTGCATGAAGTATTGTTTTCCATCGTTTGGCTTTCAGTCTGTGAGTATCCTTTTGTGTTAGATGGGTTTCTTGTAGACAGCATATGGTTGGATGTTGTTTTTTGATCCATTCTGCCAGTCTGTTTCTTTTAATTGATGCATTGAGACCATTTACATTAATGGTTATAACTGTTATATGTTGGTTTATTGTTGACATATTGTCTTTCTGCTGTTGCATCTTTACCTTTCTATTCTGTTTAATTATCTGCTTTGCTTAGTGGTTTTACCTAAGTGTATCTAAACTGACTTTCAATATTTTTTGCAGGGTTGGCTTGGTGCTCATGAAGTTCTTTAGCTATTCTTTTTCATGGAAGTATCTTATTTCACCATCAAATTTGAAGGACAGTTTTTCATGGTACATCAGTCTACGTTCTAAATCATTTTCCTTTAGGAGCTGGAATATTTCACTCCATGCTCTTCTTGACTTTATTGTTTGTGCTGAGAAGTCTGCTGTGATTCTGATATGTTTTCCTTTATAAGAGATCTGTCTTTTCTCTTTGAAAGCTTTTAATATTCTGTTCTTATGCTGGATTTCTGGGATGGTGATTATGATATGTCTGGGTATAGTTTTATTTTGGTTATGACTTTTTGGGGTTCTACATGCGTCACTGATTTTGATTTCAGTTTCCAATCTCATGTTTGGGAAATTTTCAGGTATTACTTCTCTAAACATCCTCTTGATGTGCTTTATGTTGTTCCCTTCTTTTTCATTAATGCCTATCAATCTTATGTTGTTTTTGGGGGGGGGTCATTTGCAGTTGTTGAATTGTTATTTCCTGATTCTTTGTTATTTTTAAAATATCTTTCCTTTCCTGTTCACTAGCTTCAATCTTGTCTTCAAGGTCTGAAATTCTATCTTCACTTTCATTGTGGCGGTTTTTATGGCTTTCAGTGGAATTTTTGATTTCCTGTACATCTCTGTTCATCTGGTTTATGTATTGTTTGTTTCTTATATTGCTCATCTAGGGATTCTATTTTTTTGTTTAGTTCCTCCAATTTTTAAACTGTGTTTTCTTTAGATATATTTAGCATCTCTTTCATTTCTTTTATCATTTCTTCTTTTACCTGGGAGATTATTTCTAGTTTGAATTCCTTTAAAGCTTCCCAGAGTTGCTTGTTTATCTCAGTTGCTATTATGTCTGATATTTCAGGTATATGGCATATATTTTAGTCTGTATACATTGCTCCTAAGGTTTCTTTGGATGGGCTGGAGGTTTGAGATTGTAATTTGGTCTTTCGTTTTGTCATTTTCCTATAGTTCTGTGTTTCAAGTGTTTCTAATATTATTCTAAGGCTTCCTCAGCGTCTTTTGGAAATCCTCTTCTATGCCCTCAGGTTCTGAGACTCTGGCATCCAGTTCCCTGGATTGATAAAGGGTCACTTGGGGTGGACAGGCCAGCTCAAGTCCATCCTCTGGAACCAATGGTGCCCGCCTGGTTGCTTAGCACTCAACAGTCCACCAACCACAGCTGGGAGAGTGGAGGCTGGTGCTTGCTCCCCACACCTGCCGCACTGCTCCAGTGCACTCGGAAACCGGAAACCGCAAGGTTCCCTGGCTGTGACTGAGAGAGGTTCCCAAACTAGCTGTGCTTGCAGTAAAGTGCGCGGGCCACTTATGCCAGGTTGCCAGGCCTCTGGAACTGGTGGTGCCTGCCTGCTTGCTTAGCACTCCACAGTCCTCCAAGCACAGCCAGGAACGGAACGGGGAGATAGATGCAGGCATCCCAGCCCCACCAAGCTGTTGCAGTGCACCTGGAAGCCACGAGATTCCCAAACAAGCTGGACTCGGAGGGAAAGTGCACAGAGCATTTACGCTAGGCCGCTGGGCCTCTGGAACTAGTGGCGCCCACCTGCTTGCTTAGAACTCCACAGTACTTCAAGCACAGCCAGGAATGGGAAGGTGGATACAGGCACCCCAGACCTGCCGAGCTGTTCCAGTGCACCCGGAAGCCATGAGGGTCCCAAACAAGCTGAACTTGGGGGAAAGTGCTCGGGGCACTTACCCCAGTACGAGAGGTCTCTGGAACGGGTGGCACCCGCATGCTTGCTTAGAACTCCACCTGATCAACTATTTCTAAGATGACAATATGTAATTTGTTAACTAGTGATTTCTTACTGTTTTTTTTAATTCTGTATGACTTGTACCCTTTTACTGTTTTGTTTTTCTCTTTAAGTAAAAAAAATTTTAAAAAAATATCAACTCTGTCTTTACAATCTATAGCATTCCTGGAAATTCCCCTCCCCAAACTCACAGTATTGCAAATTATCCTGTTGAGCTCTTTGCTTTTGATTTGCAGCATAAAGCTGGCTAACAGCCCCCAACAATAGCCATGCCACAGAAAGCATTTTCTCTTTTACCTTTTTACTTTATTCAAAACCACTTTTTTTTACTTATTACTAGTCAATTACTTTTTCTCTTGATTGTCAGACAACATTAAAACCTTTAACAAAATCCTTGAAGTGACTTTGTTTTAGTAGTCTAAAACATATTTAATCAGTTGATGTCTTTTTACCACCTTAAATGTTATACTTTAAAAAAACTAACTTTTTTAACTGGCTCAATTACAGTATGATCTGGTTTTGAAACAGTTTTGGCCCAGACAAGACACGGTAGCCAGGAAAGCCTCAACCGGAAGCAGGAAGCCCCAGTCTCCTCTGCCCCTAGGAAGTTACCTGTGATGCCATCTTCCCACCTCTGGAAATTTACATATGGCGCCAAACCTAGGACCAATGGGCTACCTGTGCATCCCTAATGCCCGCCTTAGGTTCCACCCCAAACTGAGGCTATTTACATGCCCCCACGCCACGTGTCTGCCGGAGAGATCGCCGGACGCCAGCGGTGGGGGTGCTGGTCATCTCTCTGTGTTCTCAGAATAAAGGCCGCTTTTTATTTTATACTTCTCATCATTTGGAAATATTTTTCATCTTTTGGAAATAATCCTAGCAGTTTTACTTGGTAAAGTTAATCTGATTTTTAAAACCCACAAATATACATATATATGTACACATGTATTCACAGTTTTTTTTTTTTTTTTTTTTTTGTCTTTTTCATTTTTATCGGTACTGGGGATCAAACTCACGACCGCCTGCTTGCAAGGCAGGTGCTTATGCCGCTGAGCTAAATGCCCAGCCCCAGCATGTATTCACACTTTAACCGGAAAGAAAAATACTTTTTAAAAGCATGCAGATGTTGAAAGTTATCAATTGAGGACTAAAACATTAAACAAGGCCAACATTAAAGACACAAATGAAAGTTTTTCTGTCCATAGTTTGGCGAGCTAAAAGGAAATAATTTTCATTATGAACCTTGAGTCTAATAAGCCACATGGACCCTGCAACAGAAATGGGCAACGAGCCTCTAAATTAGTAACAACTTTTTTTTTTTTATCAGTACCAGGGGTTCAACTCATGACCCCGTGCCCGCAAGACAGGCTCCCACACCGCCGAGACAAACCCCAGCCCCTAGTAACAAATTTAGCAAATTCAAATGGGCAAAAAAAAAAAAAAAAAAAAAAAGTAACATTCAAACAGGCAGACAACCCCAAAGCACAAAAAACACTGAACATAGAGACAAATGAGCAAAAATGGGCCCCAAAACACAAATGGGCCCAATGCCCCACACAGGCCTAGGGCCCCACACGAGGCTAAGCCATACACATGGGCCTAGGCCACACACATTACAAACGGGCAAGAGCCCCCAGAATCCGGTCAGGAGCACTAGCTCATCTGCAGTCACTGCGCGCATCCAAATTACAAACTGCAAATGGGCCAAAGCTCAAAGTTATGAATGGGCTCTAAAGCCCTAAATTACAAATGGGCAAAAAAGCCTCCAGAAGTTGTCTCATTTTATCTGCAGTTACAAATGTGTACAGTCAAATTATAAACAGGCAAAAAAAAAAAACCCAAATACTTATAAATGTTTAGATGATTGATCGGTGAAAAAATAATTTGGGGGGTCCCCCAGTAGCCCCAAATGAGCCCCCAAATCTTGCAATCCACAAATGAGCCCCCCAGAGCCCCCAACCTCAGGTCCAAAAATGGGGCAAAACATGTTTTTAAAAAAGCAGCGCTGATTTGTTTTTATCCTGGGCCCAGTGACACAGTGCAGTTGGAGTTTGCAAAAGCTGTGTGTCTCCCTTAAAATTTTCCAGACTTTTTGTAAAAAACACAGTTTACAAAGTAAGGGTTTATGGGTATGGATTAGGAAATCTGCTAAGGAATGAGAAAGATCTTTGTTTCCCTTAGCAGAGGACAGAGAAGTCTAGCAGTAATTAACAATCCTTTGTTAACGTATTTTAGCACAACATCTGTTATTTGTAGAGGGCAACAATGGTTAACAACAATTAGGTTAGGTTCCCAGGGATTTGTAATTCGTTACAGAGGAGAGCATTGATTAACATATCAATTAGATCACCCAGAAAAAAACATACAGAACAGTACAGCGGTGTTACAGGTACTTTGGTCATATAACTTAGGCATAACACAAACATAATGAAGCTCTTTTTGCTAGTTTACAGCAGAAATACATTCACAAGATGGTAAATTTATAGATATTTCCAGAGGCCTCTGACCAAGTTGCTGCTCCATTGTCTCTGGCAAATTCAGTTGACCTGGACAATGTCTATATCTTAAGGCACCTTGGGCTGACCTATGCTCATTCAGTAAAAGCTCTCTCTCCAGAATATTCTTATCTTATGGTAATGTCCTTAATCACTCTCATTCAGTCAAGGCTCTTTCTTTCTAGAACAATTCCTATATTATGATTACACCTTTAAGTATACTCATTGTGTAAAAGCATCCTCCCCTGGTTCCTGAAATGTTTCTATTGTTTTAAGACTAGCCTGTCTGTCAATATGTGTATGACTCAATGTATGTAACCAATCATGTAACAGTTGGCCACTTGTTTTGTACCTCCCACTTTTAATTCTATATAGACTAAAGTCCTTGCTGATTCAGAGTAGTTGCTTGGGAGGAATTATCTGTACAACTGACCACTGGCGTGAACTCCCAACAGTCCATTTGTGTGAAGATTAAATGGTGACTTAATTCCTTGGTGCAAAAAGTCTTCCTTTTGGTCGGTTTGGCTTGGCTTGGCTTGAGAATTTTCCCACAACAGCTTTATATGGTACTGAAACAAAACTCTGCTGCTCCCCTCTAGAATAAAGGTGGTTATAGGGTCAGGGATGTAGATCAGCACAGGGCCTGCCTGGCAAGTATGAGACTGTGTGTTCTATAGCCAGCACCCCCTGCCAACAAGAGAGAGAGTTTAAAAAACAAGTGTATCAAGGTTGAGAAATATTCTAAACCAAAACAAAACAAAACAAATGCCTGGAAATTTTCTTGCCTCTGAATCTCCTTTTTTTTTTTTTTTTTTCTTTTTCCTTTTTATCGATACCAGGGATCAAACACAGGACTGCTTGCTTGTAAGGCAGGCACTTACGCCGCTGAGCTAAATCCCCAGCCCTGCCTCTGAATCTCTTACAGCAATCATTGCCCCCAAAGAACTTGCAACAGGTCTTAATGCCCTCCAGGTGGGAAAGGTTCTTTCAGAGTAAGGAGTGGGGGAGAATATGAGCTTTCACTCTTGCTTTGTCATGTACTGCCATCTTTTTCAGATCTTCTGTATATTTTGTCATTTTTTGTGTGTGTGTTGATTTGCATCTTTATTTTGCAATCTGTCATTAGGATTCCCAGTTTTTCCCTCAGAGAACAAGGTGAGAGGCAATCAAAGCAGATGTTGGTTTCAAAGGGTGAACATGTCCATGAGATTCACTCCACTTCCTCTTTTTCTCGAACAGACTCATCACCCACCACACATTTAGGGTCGCACATCAGATGGTCAGGGTCGGCGGCTGTCATCCCGTCGAAGGGAGAGCCAAATGGAGATCTACAATGGAAAGAGAATGATAATTAAAGATGAGCCATACAACCAGGACAAAGCAAGACAGCAACAAGCAAACAAACAAAAACCCCCAAACCTCTCAGGAAACAAAAAACATAAGCCAACAAAAGAAAAGAAACGGAAGAAAAAATAATGAAACCAATAAAAGAAATAGACGGCAATGCTAAAAGAAAAAGGCGACAATGACAATGACGACTATGACAACTGTTAGGTCTGAGAGAAGGGGGAGGATGGGAGGAGAGAGGAAAAAGTCCGTGGGAGGAATGGAGTGGACGGCCGTGAAAGTAGTGGGCAGCGGTGACTTTATTCCGGGAATGCGGGGAGGGGGCTCCCCGCCGCCGGCCCGGGCGCAGCCTCCACTGCACCCGGGGCCGTGGTTAACATGGGGAGAGGAGACTGGTGCGCTGGCCGCTGGAATCCGGCGATCTCTCTCTGGCGAACTCTCTCTCTGGCGAACTCTCTCTCTGGCGAACTCTCTCGGACACGTGGCGTGGGGGGAATATAAATAGCCTAAGCTTAGGGCAGCGCCCTAAGGCCATTAGAGATGCATAGGTATCTCATTGGCGCACAGGTTCTTTTTTTTTTTTTTTTTTTTTTTTTAAGAGGAAAAAGAGAAAAACACAAAACAAACCAAAGCGGTGTAAGGGTACACGTAATACAGAACTACAAAAAAACAAAACAAAACAAACAAAACAAAACAAACAAACAAAAAAAAACCATAACAGTAAGAAATCACCTGTTAGTATATTACATATTATCATCTTGAAAATAGTTCCTCAAATCACAGTATCAAAGAATACAAGGTGGACATTCAAACAGGTAGACTGCAAACAGCTGTGTTCAATGATCCAAAAACATTGATACAGTCAGCTATTTAACACCCCTAAACACACTTGCTGTTATATCCGTTAGAGCTCTTTTTCTTTTTTTTTTTTTCCTCTCTTTTTTACAACAAAATTCACACACTTTGGATTTCATTACTCCTTAGTGCTTATTACTTTTTTTTTTTTGGGGGGGGGGAAGAATACAGGCAAATATGGCAAAACAAAGCTGTCAGTCAATACCAAGGATAGACATAGCACATGATGTAGAACAGAGTACAAGTTTATCAACAATGGTTATCAACGTTGTCCCTTGTTTCCTTAAAAAGAATTGTCTATCTCATTAGATATTATAAAGTTGGACAAAACAGTAGAGAACAAGACCAATAAAACTTAGGCATTGTAAACATTACAGGACTTCCAAAGAAAACAATAGTCAAACCAGAATGGGTATCTTAGTGAATCTTATTGTCTTCAAAGTAGTTGCCTATGTCTTCAAACTTGATACTACCATATAGAATGGAACAGTCTAATCAGTCAAAACAAGATCGTGGGAGTACTACAGGACTTCAAAACAAGTTAATAGGAAATCAAAAAGAGTTACTATTTATATATCCTAATTTTTTGAATTTTTTCTTTAATTAAGACAAATATAAGAAATGACTAATTTTTTTAAAACAATAAGGGGGAGATTGAGATAAAACAGGACATAACAATATAACA